TGCACGGTGAAAGTCGATCGCCCATGCGCATTTACTAACGTGGTTATAATGTCCTCAAAAATGGAAATATTAGTTTCGAAGATTTTCAAAACAGTTGTCGCACACTATCTCTAACAATGACAGAATTTCAAACCATGATGGGTGAAAATCCGGTATCAAAACAAACATATCATGAAAATTTCAGCTAAATCTGTTCTGTAGTTTCCGAGTCTATAGGTCATAAACAAACACACATACATTGATTTATATATATATATATATATATATATACTATATATATATATATATATATATATATATATATATATATATATTTATATATATATATATATATATATATATATAATATATATATATATATATATATATATATATATATATATATATATATAGCAAGATCATCAAGCCTTCTCTCCCGCCTCAAGTTAAAAAAAAAAATCCTAAGCACTTAGTGTTTGAGTCGAGGTTTCCAACGTCACTGCAGTCGGGTTTTCCCAGACTTGCTCCGTTCCTGCGATAGTAAAAATCGAATCAAAGGTCCCGCACTGTCTCATTTGAAAAACTGATGAACAAACAATTAATCCCAAGACATCCTAAGCACAATTACCAAGAACTTGAAGACAGGTATCCCCATAAATTAAAATATCAAATAACATAAAGTCCTTGTCTTTATGCTTTATAAAAAGTGTATATATATATATAAAATATATATATATATATATATATATATATATATATATATATATATATATATATATATTGTTTATAATGTTATAATGACTAGAAATATGAAAATAAAAGATTTTTTAAAACTACAAATGCAGAAAATTCTGAAATTGCCTGCCACCCTCTTGAAACTTCTTTCGCCACCTATTGGGGCGCTACTCAGGCTGAAAACCACTGCTTTCATCACTATTAAAAGTCGGTTGAAAGTTTAGGAAGAAAAAAAAAAGATCCTTTTTTTATACCATCGGGCTAAGTCCATATTTTTATAGACTAATTGGCACTCGATGTGTCAGGTTACAAGGTAGTTTGTGTTGTGTCAGGTCACAAGGTAGTTTGTGTTGTGTCAGGTCACAAGGTAGTTTGTGTTGTGTCAGGTCACAAGGTAGTTTGAGTTGTGTCAGGTCACAAGGTAGTTTGTGATGTGTCAGGTTACAAGGTAGTTTGTGCTGTGTTAGGTCACAAGGTAGTTTGTGTTGTGTCAGGTCACAAGGAAGTTTGTGTTGTGTCAGGTCACAAGGTAGTTTGTGATGTGTCAGGTCACAAGGTAGTTTGTGTTGTGTCAGGTCACAAGGTGGTTTGTGTCAGGTCAGGTCACCCCCCCCCCCCCCCCACTCCCCGTACAGCAATGTCACCTGGGGTGGTCGTATCTCCGCACAGTAATGACACCCGGGGTGTCACCCAGTGATGATACCGGGGTGGCCGCACCCCCTTTCTGCTACCTTCTTCCCCCTGTATCTCTCCTCTTCTTTCTTTTTCTTTCTTTTTCCCCATGTCTCAGTGCCGACTTTCTTTTCTTATTATCTTTTTTATTCTTCCTCTCTCCTCCTCCAGCTCCCCCTCTTTCTCAACTTTCTCTCAATCTTCTACTCCCCCTCCCCCAACTCTCCGTTCTGTATGGTAGAAGAAAACATGAGCCCACTGCTATTACACCTCTTGTTTTCATAATGGGTCAGTGACAGTGTTAACAACAGGGCAAACACAACAGCTGTGTTCATTTCTTGGAATCAGGTCGGGCCGCATTTTCTTTTCTTTCAAAAATGATCTTGGCTCCAATGTCCAACCAGCATTGAATGTAAGAAATGAATCTATAGCAGCCACACGCGGACAGCCAAGCATGAGAGGGTTGCCAGTGGGATTTTTGTCCAACCCGAAACTAAGCTGACCAAAAACCCAAGCAATGTATAAGGAAAAAAAAAATAAAAGCCAAAGATTGATAAATTTATTTTGTAGTAAATTTTAAAGCTACGAAATTAAACACCTAGGCTGCATGTAGTCGTGGGACCTAGGCTGCATGTAGTCGTGGGACCTAGGCTGCATGTAGTCGTGGGACATGGACTGCATGTAGTCGTGGGACCTAGGCTGCATGTAGTTGTGGGACCTAGGCTGCATGTAGTCGTGGGACCTAGGCTGCATGTAGTTGTGGGACCTAGGCTGCATGTAGTCGTGGGACCTAGGCTGCATGTAGTTGTGGCACCTAGGCTGCGTGTAATCATGGGACCTAGGCAGCATGTAGTCGTGGGACCTAGGCTGCATGTAGTCGTGGGACTATATATATTGTTTATAATGTTATAATGACTAGAAATATGAAAATAAAAGAATTTTACAACTACAAATGCAGAAAATTCTGAAATTGCCTGCCACCCTCTTGAAACTTCTTTCGCCACCTATTGGGGCGCTACTCAGGCTGAAAACCACTGCTTTCATCACTATTAAAAGTCGGTTGAAAGTTTAAGAAGAAAAAAAAAAGATCCTTTTTCATACCATCGGGCTAAGTCCATATTTTTATTGACTAATTGGCACTCGATGACTGATGTGGTCAAAGTCATGCCGATCGCATTTACTTCCCTATACATTTCTTGACAGGGTGTACCCGTAATTCACCTAGGCGAATTAACAAAACAGACAGACGAAAATCAGATAAAGATTTTACACTTAAGGCCAAGTTGTGCATGCGCTTCCAGAATCAGTGCGGAAAGGTAGACTATCCGATTTTTTTTACATAAAAATTATTCACAATTAGCTCCCCTGCACAAATTTCATCTCTTCTTCTTCTTCTTCTTCTTCTTCTTCTTCTTCTTCTTCTTCTTCTTCTTCTTCTTCTTCTTCTTCTTCTTCTTCTTCTTCTTCTTCTTCTTCTTCTTCTTCTTTTTCTTCTTTTTCTGTTCTTCTTCTAATTCTTCTTATTCTTTTTATATGTGTTGTGGTTTACAGCTTGGTTGTGAAATCTACGCTTTTCGGCACATTACATTCGATTTCAGAAAACCCCAGGTACTCCTGTCAAATCCGAACGAAGAATAAAAAGCCTTGGACGACTTAGTCAGAGTTCTCTCCCTTGGCCGCACTGCAAACAGTGATCGGAAAAGCCAACGAAACAAACGACACAAGCAACATGGCAGTTTAGACGCACTCACATAATTAACATCGTTCTTCCGACGCACGAGGGCTATTTCCGACGCAAATTTTGGTGACGAGTTGCCGGGAACGACTATCGTGACTGACGCTTGGCGAGGCTACAGCAACGTGGCAAACTTACGGCATGGCATCTATCTGCACGAGGTAGTAGTCCACCAGACCAACTTCGTCGACGCCGTACACAGTCACATACACACACAAACAATTGAGGGCCTCTGGATGCTGGTCAAACGCACAATTCGCCAACGATTGGGCACCAGCCGCACACTATTGGCGTCATATTTATCAGAATTTCAGTGGCGCCACGCCCACAGATTGTCGGCCAGTATTTCGAAACCCTACGTCAAAATTTTCACATCTAACCCTACCCCTACCCCTAACCCTAACCCTACCCCTAACCCTAACCCAACAACCGCATGATGACTACACAACCATTCACGATGCCACACGCAACCGTATGCAACCCTGCACGCAACCATATGATGACCACGCATCCCTTAACGATGCCTCACGCAACCGTACGCAGCCCTACACGCAACCGTATGATGATAGGTAAGTGTGTCGTTTGTTTCGTTGGCTTTACCGATCACTGTTTGCAGCGCGGCCAAGGGAGAGAACTCTGACTAAGTCGTCCAAGGCTTTTTATTCTTCGTCCGGATTTGACAGGAGAGCCAAACCCCAAAATAGTCGCTTTTACGACATGCTTGTTTGTGGGAAGAAAGGGGAGGGGGTGGGAGTGGGGCATCAGAACCCACATCGAAGCACATAGGTTATTATGTCTGATATTTTGGTAACCTAATTTTCAGCGTCATAGCCAACGGGTCACCCCCATAGTTGCCCCACCACTGTCCCTTATGGAAAAATAGACACAGAGGCATATCGTATACTACAACTTATTTGAAATAGTTCATATTTTGGCCCAAGGTAATTTCAACTCCACACACAAAATAAAGACAAAGTCCAAAACCCCTTTTAGTAATTGTTTAGTAATTTCCTAGGTAAAGTTTCTATGAAATATGAACTGATGTTATCTATTTTTCAAACACTAATGCTCAGAATTGGACCAAAGAAATATATATTTACTAGCTGAACAAGCGTTACTTGTACTGTGCTTTTACCAGAGCTGTACCGAATCTTCGCTTTGGGGCCGAATAGTGGACCTAATAACTATTACGAATAATGGTTACCTTACAACCGCTTCTGCATACATGGCCTTAATGCTGACAACATGAAACGATTGGTTTTGTTAAAAACTAATTCAGATTTCATGCATTTACTAAGCTGTTAGTTTCAATTTCCAAGTTTACTTACTTGTTATAATACGAAGGATACTTTCATTCATGGTTATTAGTTACCACAGACTGACTGAAGGATGCGAAACATAAAATGTTTTTAACTATGTACTATTCTGAACGAATACTAACTAGACATGGCAAGAATGTAAATTTCGGTCACATCCAAATCGATAATATGAAAATGAAACGAAGAGAAATATATAAGTACTTGTGTGCAAACTTCAACTTCTCCAACACGCTGAGAGAAGAAATACAATCTAGAATACAATCTGGAAACAAAGTATACTTTGCCCTTCAATATCTGCTATTAATTTCTGTTTATGCACCAATCTGATATCTCTCTAGCTGCTCTTATAGCTGCTGTCCGTGGAAAAAAAAAGGGGGGGGGGAGGGGGTTAAGAGATGCTTAGATGGCCTAGCCATATGGATGGGGTGACACAAGAACAGTGACCTGATCCTTGATTATGGTAACCGTGTAAGAGGGCGAAACACGACGGCTCACGCCTATCGGCACAGTAAATAGTGATGACCTTTAAACCATTGATACAATATTTAAAGATTCCTCCCCTAATTTAGCTCCTTCCCATCGCTTGGATCATCTGCTTGTCTACCAGAAGTCTCATGGTCACCATGCACAACAGCTCCATTGGTCACCGCCCCGTCTCTGGACAATTCGTCCATGTGGATGACCTCGTGTTTGCTCTCAAGGACGGCACTGTTATTCTCATGTTTTGCCTTGTTACCCAGGAAAGGGACGGATTCCTTATCCGTGAAGCCGTCTGTTTGAAACTTCTCGTCGGTGATTGGTTTTATCTCTACCTCTCTGTCGAGTTCTTCCAGTCGTTTAGCCGGGTCTGGGAATCTCGCCTGCAAATATACATGCAGGTATGGTTATACATTCGTGCTTGCATTTCAGTCATATTTTGCAATGACTGCAATAAAGATTTTATAAATTAACACAAGTCGTTCCCCATGTGCAATTATTTTCATTTTTTGAAGCCCACCCTGGCTTTTGCCGGGGGCCCTGAATATAGCCGGGCCTAAAATATGGCCTAACGGCGGCTGAAAGGGGTTTCTGGGACCTCTCCACGAGTGATCCTTTTACGCATGGTGGCACTTTGTATCACTGGGTGTTTATCGCTTGTGTGATGTCCTGGTGGGGTACAACAAGAGAGAGAAAGAGAGTGATTATATCAATGAGTGATTGATATTGAACCCCCACCATGACCGACTACAGCTGGAGTGGTGCTTTAAAATAGCAAACAATTGCCTCCCATAATGGGGAGAGGTTAGTAAATATTATATAAATGCCTTTTTTCTGAAACGCAATTTAAACTGTGCTGCATGTTCAAATCCTAGTCAGATTTTATCACTATACTCAGACCAAATATGAAAGATAAATTAACATATAATTTGTTGCTTGATTCACAGGGGTAAAAGCTAATCACATGTTGTGCGTTACTAAGGCAGAAAGGGTTAATTAATACTACATTAGGACAACAGAGGTACAATTTCGCGTCTGCTATAGGTGTTCGTGTACTGCGCTGAGATTCTTCAGACTCAGGCTTGAGCTAGAAGTAGAACGGATCGCTTCTGGGTTTACTACTCTTGTGCCATGATGTTTATCTGTTGTCTAAACCAGTGACTCTTAATCTTCCTAATACTACTACCCTAGTTTCCCCACGTTATGGCGACCCCTCCCCTCCCCCACATCCCCACCTATTTTCCCAAACAATTATTTACCTTCATAACTTCAATGAATATGTGTTTTCTGATGGTCTTAGGGGACCCCTGTGTTAGGGTCGTTCGACTCTCACACACACACACACAGAAAAATGGTCACGATTGGCAGGTTAAGAACCGCTGGTCGAAATCTAAACCTAAACCAAAGTCTGCAAGTTGGGGCCTCAAGGGGACCTTAGCTGACGGTTCTGTCGCCGCTGTGTTAGTCATAGTTTGTGTTGTCAGGTCACAAGGTGGTTTGTGATGTGTCAGGTCACAAGGCGGTTTGTGTCAAGTCAGGTCACAAGGTGGTTTGTGTTGTGTCAGGTCACAAGGTGGTTTGTGTTGTGTCAGGTCACAAGGTGGTTTGTGTTGTGTCAGGTCACAAGGTGGTTTGTGATGTGTCAGGTCACAAGGTGGTTTGTGTTGTGTCAGGTCACAAGGTGGTTTGTGTTGTACCAGGTCACAAGGTGGTTTGTGTTGTATCAGGTCACAAGGAAGTTTGTGTTGTGTCAGGTCACAAAGTGGTTTGTGTTGTGTCAGGTCACAAGGTGGTTTGTGCTGTATCAGGTCAAAAGGTGGTTTGTGTTGTGTCAGGTCACAAGGAAGTTTGTGTTGTGTCAGGTCACAAGGTGGTTTGTTTTGTGTCAGGTCACAAGGTGGTTTCTGTTGTGTCAGGTCACAAGGAAGTTTGCGTTGTGTCAGGTCACAAGGTGGTTTGTGTTGTGTCAGGTCACAAGGTGGTTTGTGTTGTGTCAGGTCACAAGGAAGTTTGTGTTGTGTCAGGTCACAAGGTGGTTTGTGTTGTATCAGGTCACAAGGTGGTTTGTGTTGTGTCAGGTCACAAGGAAGTTTGTGTTGTGTCAGGTCACAAGGTGGTTTGTGTTGTGTAAGTTCACAATGTGGTTTGTGTTGTGTCAGGTCACAAGGTACTTTACGTTGTATCAGGTCACAAGGTGGTTTGTGTTGTATCAGGTCACAAGGAAGTTTGTGTTGTGTCAGGTCACAAGGTGGTTTGTTTTGTATCAGGTCACAAGGTGGTTTGTGTTGTATCAGGTCACAAGGTGGTTTATGTTGTGTCAGGTCACAAGGAAGTTTGTGTTGTGTCAGGTCACAAGGTGGTTTGTGTTGTGTCAGGTCACAAGGAAGTTTGTGTTGTGTCAGGTCACAAGGAAGTTTGTGTTGTGTCAGGTCACAAGGTGGTTTGTGTTGTATCAGGTCACAAGGTGGTTTGTGTTGTATCAGGTCACAAGGTGGTTTGTGTTGTATCAGGTCACAAGGTGGTTTGTGTTGTGTCAGGTCACAAGGAAGTTTGTGTTGTGTCAGGTCACAAGGTGGTTTGTGTTGTATCAGGTCACAAGGTGGTTTGTGTTGTATCAGGTCACAAGGTGGTTTGTGTTGTATCAGGTCACAAGGTGGTTTGTGTTGTGTCAGGTCACAAGGTGGTTTGTGTTGTGTCAGGTCACAAGGGTGTTTGTGTTGTGTCAGGTCATAAGGAAGTTTGTGTTGTGTCAGGTCACACGATGGTTTGTGTTGTGTCAGGCCACAAGGTGGTTTGTGTTGTGTCAGGTCACAAGGTGGTTTGTGTTGTATCAGGCCACAAGGTGGTTTGTGTTGTATCAGGTCACAAGGTAGTTTGTGTTGTATCAGGTCACAAGGAAGTTTGTGTTGTGTCAGGTCACAAGGAAGTTTGTGTTGTGTCAGGTCACAAGGTAGTTTGTGTTGTATCAGGTCTCTATGAAGTTTGTGTTGTGTCAGGTCACAAGGAAGTTTGTGTTGTGTCAGGTCACAATGAAGTTTGTGTTGTGTCAGGTCACAAGGAAGTTTGTGTTGTGTCAGGTCACAAGGAAGTTTGTGTTGTGTCAGGTCACAAGGTAGTTTGTGTTGTATCAGGTCACAAAGAAGTTTGTGTTGTGTCAGGTCACAAAGAAGTTTGTGTTGTGTCAGGTCACAAGGAAGTTTGTGTTGTATCAGGTCACAAGGAAGTTTGTGTTGTGTCAGGTCACAAGGAAGTTTGTGTTGTGTCAGGTCACAAGGAAGTTTGTGTTGTATCAGGTCACAAGGAAGTTTGTGTTGTGTCAGGTCACAAGGTAGTTTGTGTTGTGTCAGGACACAAGAAAGTTTGTGGTCACAAGGAAGTTTGTGTTGTGTCAGGTCACAAAGGAAGTTTGTGTTGTGTCAGGTCACAAGGAAGTTTGTGTTGTGTCAGGTCACAAGGTAGTTTGTGTTGTGTCAGGTCACAAGGAAGTTTGTGTTGTGTCAGGTCACAAGGAAGTTTGTGTTGTGTCAGGTCACAAGGAAGTTTGTCCACAAGGAAGTTTGTTTCAGGTCACAAGGAATCAGGTCACAAGGAAGTTTGTGTTGTATCAGGTCACAATGAAGTTTGTGTTGTGTCAGGTCACAAGGTAGTTTGTGTTGTATCAGGTCACAAGGAAGTTTGTGTTGTGTCAGGTCACAAGGTAGTTTGTGTTGTGTCAGGACACAAGAAAGTTTGTGTTGTATCAGGTGACAAGGAAGTTTGTGTTGTATCAGGTCACAAGGTAGTTTGTGTTGTGTCAGGTCACAAGGTAGTTTGTGTTGTGTCAGGTCACAAGGTAGTTTGTGTTGTGTCAGGTCACAAGGAAGTTTGTGTTGTGTCAGGTGTCAGGTCACAAGGTTTCAGGTCACAAGGTTTGTGTTGTGTCAGGTCACAGGTAGTTTGTGTTGTGTCAGGTCACAAGGAAGTTTGTGTTGTGTCAGGTCGCTTATGTCCCTGTAAGTTTAAACAAAATAAAAAAAGTAAAGGACCCTTTTTCGCGCCTAAAGGTGCATAGGGCATAGAGGACTACACCTATATTTTTTATATACCAATCGGTGCAAAATGGGTGATTTAGTCAGCATAACGATGGCTGCCTTTACTTCCCGGGACTGCACCCGGTACCCACTCAAGGCTGGGTCGACCTGGAGCCAAGGTCATTTTTTTATAAAAAGTCAGGCTCCGCCAGAAAGCGAACCCGCGACCTTCCGATCCGCAGATGTTGTGACCCTGATGACAGCATAAAGTAGGGATGCTAGTTAAGTTTTGAATTTTGGATTTTTACTTACGAAATCATGACAGCTAGATAGAGATTAAAATTACAAATCCAGTGGTACCTCATTTAAGCCTTTAAGTCGATTCTAAGCGGAGATATTAACATTTTAGTGGCGGATACCACTACATAAAAATTATAGTGGAGATAAGAAAAACATGGAATCCTGGCTGCGACCCAATATGATGAAATGACTCAATGTTTCTATTTTACGGCCATAACTTTTTTGTATCTAAACGAATCCCTTAGCAACTACAGGAATCGGGACAGTGGGATCTAACTGTTAATGCGTATCTCAAATACATAGACTACAATATGCGCCTATTTTACATATGAAAATATCCGATGGCTGACTATTTTTCATCAAAAACCTTATACATTTAATGTTGTCTGCCAACGAGCCTGGCTTAATACATATCATATTGTGTGTCCTGACAATGCGAACATAAAGATCATATAAATGTGCCAATGTCAGTTGACGTGACCTAATTAACAAATACCGGACACCCCCCCCCCCCACTCCCCGTACAGCAATGTCACCCGGGGTGGTCGTATCTCCGCACAGTAATGACACCCGGGGTGTCACCTAGTGATGATACCGGGATGGCCGCACCCCCTTTCTGCTACCTTCTTCCCCCTGTATCTCTCATCTTCTTTCTTTTTCTTTCTTTTTCCCCATGTCTCAGTGACGACTTTCTTTCCTTATTATCTTTTTTATTCTTGCTCTGTCCTCCTCCTGCTCGCCCTCTTTCTCAACTATCTCTCAATCTTCTACTCCCCCTCCCCCAACTCTCCCTTCTGTATGGTAGAAGAAAACATGAGCCCACTGCTATTACACCTCTTGTTTTCATAATGGTCAGTGACAGTGTTAACAACACGGCAAACACAACAGCTTTTTGTCCAACCCGAAACTAAGCTGACCAAAAACCCAAGCAATGTATAAGCCCACTTTTATATAAGGATATGTATATTTAAAAAAAAAAAAAGATTCCAAAATCTTAACCCAAGGTGTCGTATAAAAACCCAGTTCTTCGGGCAAAGCCCAAGTACTGGCATGCCTGATGGACGGAAACGCGGTCAGCGCTGCTGTTATTTCTCGACCACTTAGATTTATCAATTCAGACAGAAAATTCCGTGGATTCTAAATAATAACAGACGCATTAAAAAAATGCTACAAAAGTTGTAGATGTTTGAAAAGTAGCTCACTTAACATTATTAATTTACATTATTAATTAAGTATCTGAAGTTAATTACTAAAGAATAATCTCAGAAAATGCGCAATGATGGCCGAAATTAATTATTGGGATTTGGGGGTGATGAGGAAAAAATATCTCCAACAGAAAATACACAGAGATCTCTAAATAATGACAGATGCATGAAAAATAATACAACTGTTTTTGATTTTTTTTAAAAATGATTAAAATAACGTTTTTCTAATTTAATAATTATTTTAAGTTAATTATAAAGCGGGGAAAACGGTCTCCTAGTGCAAACATATTGGATTTTAAAGCAAAAACAGTGATGCCACTAAACATTTTTTTAAACATTTGGGCTATGGCCAGTCTTTGTGAAATTTCCCATACTTATATAAAACTTAACGCAGAATTCAAAAATGCACCACCAATTTCGGTAGTCTGGCTAATTAAGAAGATATTTACGAAATTACTTACCGTTATTCGATTTAAAGCGAAAACAGTGATGCCACTAAAAAAATTTTTTTTTAACAAAAATACACCACAAATCGAGGTAATCTGACTAATTAAGAAGATATTAACGAAATTACTTACCGTTAATTCACTGCGTGCTGCCAAAAAAAAATCGATTTATTGTATACGCGTCAAAACGATTTCACGTCAAAGCCTAGCATCTCTCCATTAACTCCTAATAATTGTTCCGATTTGATCTTTCACGTAAAGAGCAGGGAAAAATAAGTTCTCAGTAACGGTCAATTCGGGTTGCTTTTTGGAATGCGGTCGCGTCTCTAGTTATGGATGAAAATGAATAGCAAAATAAACGAAACAAAACGACGCATTGCTATACCTATATAAAGTAAAGACACCACAGTGTACCTTGTATTCTTCCTTGATGTACTGGGGCCCTATAGATGACAGGTACCGCTTCACTGGTCGGGGCAGAAAGATGAGGAGGGATTCTGAGACGGAAATCAAGTAGCGTGGATCCACATCACCTGGCTTGTTCATACCTGGGGAGACATGTGTGTACAAAAGTCACACACATCTCTTTATCTCTCTCCCTCTCTATCTCATCTCCCTCTCTTTCTCTCTCATCTCCCTCTCTTTCTCTCTCATCTCCCTCTCTTTCTCTCTCATCTCCCTCTTTTTCCGTTATCTCTTTCTCTTTATCTCTCATAAAAATACACAGGTAAATGTTTGTACCTCGTTGCACTCTCTCTCTCCCCTCTCATAAACATAGGTATTTAAGTGTCTGGTTCTCGTTGCTGTCTCGCTCTCTTTCAGAACATCTCTCTCTCTCTCTTTTCCTCTCTCTCTCTCTCTTTCCCCCCCCCTCTCTCTCTCTCTCTCTCTCTCTCTCCCCCATAAACTCTCTTTCGTGTCTGTCTCTCTTTCGCGTAAACTCTCCCTTCCTCCGCCCCTCTCTTTTTCTCATGTTTAGCTATGCCCTTTTGTGTTCTCCTGTGGACACAGCTTTAAAGTAAGGTTACGCTTTAGATTTGATTTTGTAGATAAGCCTAGCAAAAGCAAACATACATTCTTCTTTCGTGAATATCGGTTCTGGGCAACTAGACATTGCAGTTTAATAGATAACAGGAAGCCGAGCATAGTTCGATTGCACAGTCTCTAGAAATGTTCCAGTCAGTTCTCACATTCCGATCGCCCTGGATCCCGTGATGGCCTGTCTACAGATGCAGAGTTGTGAATAGCCTGTATAATACGATTTCTACAAAGAAGGACTCACAAGTGTTCAGCTTGTCAGTAACAAAGGAAGGGCAACAATGAAGAGCCACAGCTATCTCTGATGATCTTTCTACAGCTGCAGTGGTGCGCGCCCACAGTAACCTTCTAACCTAAGACATTAAGGATCATCTGTATTGATGTAAACAGGCCAGGGGGTAGAGGCAGACCAAGAGAGATAGATGATGCTGGATGGGCTGAAACGATGGCATAAAGGGATATCATCAAGAGAGCTGTTCCACGCAACCAGAGATTGTGATATATGGAGACGCATGGGCGCCTACGCCAGTTGGCAGGGCACATGATGGTGATGATGAAACAAGCCATACGGTGTACGCTATGGTCATGTCAAATATTTATGTAAAGACGAAATACTACCAGTGGTGAGGGACGTTAATGATAGTATCCAAAGGTCAAATGTACCAGATAACTGGTTACACAGCTATCTAAGTCCAGGCAGGGACACCTTAAACGTAAGCAGTTATAGAATCATATCCACGCAAAATTTGTATGGCAAACTACTGGAAACAATTGCCGCGAAGAGAGTGATGTCACACTTAGAGAGAAAGGGCATGCTACCGGACACCATGGGCAGCTATAGGCTATCAAAGGCTACGGGAACAGTAAGCATCTACACCTTAGAACATTTGCTGCGGGAGACGAAGCATCTATGGCTATGCCCGGTGTGCACTGATTCTTAAATCAGTAATTAGTAATTAGATGTAAACATGAGAGGATCGACGTCGTTTCGCCTGCCTTTATTCTATATGGTAGCACCGGTTGGTCGCTGACGAGAAGGTAGCACAAAGCACAAACTCCATAGCTCCCGCAACAATTTCCTCAAAACCTGTATCAAATAAATTAGGCACTGAGTTACAAATCGAACCTCAGAGCACAAGGCAGACGGTTTAACCACTTCGCTGGGGAGGTCTTTGTATTCATACGTTTAGCAAAAATAAAAATGAACTACGTGGAACACTCTCTAACGGTTCAAGAAGTCACTCACCCGTGAAGACACTGACTATGACACCTACGACCATGGTCACTAAGGTTCCAATGACGGAAATCCACAGGTAGGACACTGTATACAGCTTCTCGACACCTTCACTGTTGTACAGAGTGAAGCAATTCTGATAATTCAATATGGACAGATCGACTAACAGACAGACAGACAGACAGACACTGACAGACAGACATTGACAGACAGACAGACAGAAAGACAGACATTGACAGACAGACAGACAGACAGACAGACAGACAGACAGACAGACAGACAGACAGACAGACAGACAGACAGACAGACAGACAGACAGACAGACAGACAGACAGAAACGCAGACCGAAAGATAAATCTTAATACAGAGATGAGGTATAGATAGACAGAATGGACAGATACATTAACAGATAGTTAGATTCGATAGATATATTAGATAGATTTTATTATATAAGATAAATATGTTAGACAGACAGACTGACAAGGGAATGACAGAACGAACACACAATTTTATTGGGCACGCAGGCCCGTCTCACATTCCAAACACCCAGCTGTTGTATTTTAACAATAAAGCATGTAGTGTTCACATAATATGCATATTATGAATGTCAAGAAAAAACACAAAAGCACCCGAGGTAAAATGCATGCATGCATTCGCGCGCGCACACACTTAAATGCACCAACCCACCCACCCCCATACACACACAAGCATACACACACACTCGCATATACACATATAAATACACTCAAAGACACCCGCAGACACAAACACACACAGATACATACACATACACACATAAACACACGCATTCACACACACACACAGACACACACGCAAGCCAACACACATACACACACACAGACATACACACAGACATACACCCAAACACAGACAAACATAAAGAGACACACGCAGACACACACAAACACACACGCATACAAAAGGAGAGAGTTACACACAGATACACAGACACTCAGGTAGACACACATATGCAGACACCCATACAAAGACACACATATACAGGCACACACGCAGACACACGTGGACAAACAAACAGAGACAAACACACCCACACTAACACACACAAAGACACATACGCAGATACACACAGACAAACACACATACGCAGACACACCAAGTTTAGCACACACACACACAAACAACCACACACGCAGACACACACACACACACAAAAAACCAACGCACACACACAGGCACACAAACAGACGCAAACAAATACACACACACACACACACACACACCAACAGACACAGACAAACACACAGACACACTCACGCAGACAAACACACAGACATACTACACACAGACACACTTAAACACATATGCACAGGCTTATACGCACGGAGACACACACAGACACACCCAACGACACACACAGATACACACACGGTCATACGCGCACACAGATACACACAATGACGCATACATACATGCAGACACACACACACAGATTCAGACAAAATGTTATTCAATTACTCATGGAAACATTTATACATAAACATAATGAAACATACACAATCACGCATACACATCATGACACACACATACATACAAATACGCTCACAAATGCACAAACACTCACACAAATACGCGCAGACGCACACACATTATCAGAAAGACACACACACACAGATACCCACGAAGCCACACACACACAGACACACGCAGACATTTTATAATAGACACACCCATAGAGACTCACACAGATACACACAAAGCCACACACACATACACGCAAGACAGACAGACAGACAGACAGACAGACAGACAGACAGACAGACAGACAGACAGACAGACAGACAGACAGACAGACAGACAGACAGACAGACAGACAGACAGACAGACAGACAGACAGACAGACAGACAGACAGATAGATAGATAGATAGATAGATAGATAGATAGATAGATAGATAGATAGATAGATAGATAGATAGATAGATAGATAGATAGATAGATAGATAGATAGATAGATAGATAGATAGATAGATAGATAGATAGATAGATAGACACACAGATAGATAGATAGATAGATAGATAGATAGATAGATAGATAGATAGATAGATAGATAGATAGATAGATAGATAGATAGATAGATAGATAGATAGATAGATAGATAGATAGATAGATAGATAGATAGATAGATAGAAGATAGATAGATAGATAGATAGATAGATAGATAGATAGATAGATAGATAGATAGATAGATAGATAGATAGATAGATAGATAGATAGATAGATAGATAGATAGATAGATAGATAGATAGATAGATAGATAGATAGATAGATAGATAGATAGATAGATAGATAGATAGATAGATAGGTACCAGTGTTGTAACTACTCACGGTTCCCTAAATGGCCGCTCCGTAATACTCTTGACAGTTGAGAGTATGGTGTAGTTACTGTAAACACTGGAAGAGTTGTACACAGACGACATCCACAAGTCAGTTCCGTTGCCCAGATCAGGCACGGAACAGTTGGCTATCGAGGCGGGAGGTAACCAGGGAGTTTTCTTGATGACGGGTGAAAAGTTCATCCCCAGGGACATCCAGAAAGCGAAGGCAAGACCGGCAAAACCACCGGCTATAGCGCCCTGTAGGTATAAAGTTACCCCCGTGTAAACAGAAGAAAAACACAAATTGCTGGAATTAGGTGAAAAGACATTGAGAAGGGGGGGAGGGGGGGGGGGAGACACGAATTGCTGGAAGGATGTGAAATGACAAGGGAAAAAAGCACAACAACACGAATTTGCTTGAAGGGTGTGAAATGACAGAAACAGAAAAAAAAAAGTTAATGATTCTGCTGGAAGGATGTGAAATGACAGGAACAAAAAACACGAATTTGCTGAAAGGATGTGAAATGATAGAGAAAAAAAAAAAAACACGAATTGCTGGAAGAAAGTGAAATGACAGAAACAAAAAAAAAAAAAAAAAAAACGCGAATTGCTGGAAGAAAGTGAAATGACAGAAACAAAAAAAAAAAAAAAAAAAAAAATTGCCTGGAAGGATGTGAAATTGCAGGAAACAAAAAAAAAAAAAAAACAATTTCTAGAAGGATGTGAAATGGCAGAAATAAAATACTGCTGGAACGTCTTAACATTTTCTTAGTGAAGAAGTCAAGGCTCACTATTAAACGTATTGGGTTATATGAGTGGCTACATATTTCGGGTGACTAGACGGTATGGTCACCCTACACATACAGGGATGGGAGTCGCCGTGGCGTTGACGACTAGACGCCTTCTGCGGATCGGAAGGTCGTGCGTTCGCGTCCTGACGGAGCCGCAATTATTATATTTTTTTAATGGCCTTGACTCCCAGGTCGACCCAGCCGATTGGCCTAAAAAATATAGGTCTAGCTCTATATTTCCAATTGGCCTACAGACAAGTAAAAGGGACCATTACTTTACTGTACATATAAGGATAGGTAGGTATATGGATATAAAATATAATGATGGAAACACGAAACGCTCATACCTTTTCATTAGATCTTGGACAGAAGCAACCCAAGAAAAAGATTCCAATGAGCGGTCCACCGAAGGCTGCAATCAAGCTCCCGGAGATCTGGGTAAGGGAATGTCAATGTTTTCAAATATGTTTTGCACGAATGTAGCTATATAATCGTGACTGTTGTTGTATATATGCATATCGATCTGTCTGTTACTTTCGTCATTTGTCCATTCTAATGTACTTTATTTTTTAATTTACCGAAACATGGGAAATTCCGGGCACGGAAACCCACTCATCAGTTGTGGTTGTAAGTGTTTTACATAATGAATGACTAAAAAGGATAACATAATAGCAGAAAGACGGCGTCAGTGGCTGAGGCGTTGCGAACGCGCTTCCTAATGCTGACGATTGTCTTGCGTTGGTTTCGACAGTGGCACTCGTTTAAAAAAGCAGTGGCAAACTACTGGACATAAATTTGATTTTAAAAGTCAACTAGAGCGCAAAAAAAAAAAAAAAAAAAACTAGGTTTGGTTCTTTAACGTCCTGTAAATGATACACAACTAACTTAACGCAATAGCAGAAAAAAAGGAGTCCGTTCAAATCATTATTGCATGAAACACTTGTTATTTTTCTGTATTCTTATCTTTCCCCTCTCTAGGCTGATACCTCAAGATTTGACTTCTGAAAGGTAATGCTGTGCGGCTTTGGTAGTCATGTCTCTCCACAACCTCATTTACTTTCAGTTAGCTCTGACACAGTGATCCTCCATGCCATTATGTCAAACTGTATAGGATTTTTTCTCTCGGTTTCCGTCTGTCTCTCCTCCTCTCCAACTGTCCTACTGTCACGATTTTCTCCAGTTTTCTCCTTCTCATCACATGACAAAATAATGCAGACTGCTACTTTCTGAAGTGAGCAATCAGTTCTCTCCTTGAGTCAGTTTCTTTCAAGACAGCATCCTTATTCTTTTTATCTGTCCAAAGTAATCTCATCATTCGTCTATAAAACCTCATCTACGCAGCTTCCAAATAGTTTTTCACTAATCCACCAACTGTACATGATTCACTTCCGTATTTCAATATATGTACTAACAGTCACTAACAAACAGGAAGAATAATTGTAAAAATATAACCAATAACAAACAATGGCAAATATAGAGTCATTAACCACATAGTAAAGATATAATCACTAACAAACAGGAAGGATAATTGAAAAATATAACCAATAACAAACAATAGCAAATATAGAGTCATTAACCATAAAAGGAGCCACTAACCACACAGTAAAGATAGTCATTGACAAACATAGAAAGAGAATGACAGACATATAGAGTCACTGAGAGTCACCGACAAACACAGAGAGTCTCTGACAAACGTCTTGAAAAACAAAATCATTGACAGAGTCACTGACACACACACACACACACACACATACACACACACACCCATATATACACAGAGAGAGAGAGAGTGTGAGAGAGAGAGAGAGAGAGAAAGAGAGGGGAGAGTCACTGAAAAAAGAGTCACTAAGAAACATTGTTTAAGACAGTCACTGAGAAACAATGTCACTAACAGAGTCACTAGGAAAAGAAGTAAGTGACAGAGAACTACAGATAAGCAGAGAAAGTAACCAACAGAAGAGGAGGGGATGGGGAGAGAAGGAGGGAGAGAAAATAAATGAGAAACACAGAGAGCCTCTGAGAAGCCTTAAGAGAGCCAGAGAGGGAGAGAGTCCATGATAAACAGAAAGTCACTGACAGAGTGATTAATCGAGAAGCACAGAATGTTACTGACATTCAGCAACCTGCAAAAGTGTCGCTGTAGACACAGATTTACATAAGCCGACTTACCTGAGTCAGAGTACCGCCAATCTGCGAAACCAGTACGGCTACACCACAAGCCAGAGCTCCAAAACACAGGACTGTAACAAACAAAAAATATAATTGACTGGTGAACATTTGAAATAGCTTTAGAAATTCATTAACAAGTATTGTTGAGCACTTATAGCAGAAGAGGTAAACACAGAGAAGAGAGGAAAAACGTATGATACACTTATAAATTCATCCTATCAATTAGTCATCTATCATCCGTTTGTTTTTAAGTCATCCTTTATACTCTTTCATTTGCCTCGCTGGGTCTTTGCAACGACATTCCAGTTTACTGTTATCATGTTTCTGTAATCCACGTCCTATCCTAAACTTGCGTCTTTTTTTCACCTATTTATATTTACTCTAATCCTTAAGTGACAGCTCATCATATATGTTACCCCATAAGTACTACCCAAGCGTGCAACTCGTCAACAAATACATGAGTAAAGTAAACGATCTGGAAAGTAAAGGCGACCGGCGTGATGCCAATTGGTCTATAAAATATAGGTCTAGCCCTATATGCCCAGTTCGCCTAAAGGCGTGGGAAAGGGGCCTCTACTTGTTTTCCAGGGTCTCTATCGACAATTCCTTACCTGCAATTTTAGCGATAATGGTTGCCTTTGTCTCAGAGATGTGGGGACCCACTAAAGGATGAACAACATCTGCCCAGAGTAAGGCAGATAAACTGCTGAGTCCCGAAGACAACGTGCTGCGATATAGATCAATATCAGTGTTAATACAGTAAGATATCTTTTGAAAGTATTGTTCTAAATAGGATACAGTTTAGTGTTTTGAGGTAAGCATGGCCTTGAAAGGCAATACCGTGTAAAAAGCTGGTCTTCTACCCCAAATATCTGGGTTCGAAAACACATTAAATCGATATATATATATATTCGACGCGGGGCTGCAGGTCGATCCAACTTAAAATGGGTAGGTTAAAAGTTTGAAATGTTCTAGCAAACAAAGGTAATCAGCTGATGTTTTCTATATCAGTAAAAGAATGCCAATTATTATATCATATTTAGGGTCTAGTACCAAAGTCCCGCTGCGGTTAGACGTTCGCCTAGGGATCGGAAGTCGTGAGTTCGGGTTCTGACGGAGCCAGACTTCCTTCTTCTTTCAAAAATGACCTTGGCTCCCAGATCCACCAAGCCTTGAGTGGATATCAGACACAAGTCCTAGGAAGCAAAGGTGACCGGCATGATGCTGTCCATATCATCCACTAAGTGCCGATTGGTACATAAAATATAGATACAGCCCTATATGCACAGTACGCCTTAAAGCGCGGAAAAGTGTGTACATTGTAAAAAAAAAAACACGATCGAGCCACAGTTGTACAGTATCTAGAAATGCTATCTGCTGCTTTTTGTTGCGCATCTTCATTGAAAAGGGCTTACTTCTTTTTTTCTTCTACGCGTTCACCAGCTGTAAACTCTGGCGGAAAGTTCTGGTTGTTCATCCATTTCTGGACTGCAGTCCTGTTCCAGAACCTTAATGTTGCGTATTCATCCGTTTTACAGACCTGACTCCTTTGTTTGCAGACTGCTGGTTCCCTGCCTCTCAGACAGATGCACTCCGACTTTGAAGGAAGCTCCCAATTAGTCGACTCTTACGACATGCTTTTGGGTAGGCAGTGGGTTTATTTTTGTGTTCCCTATAACAGGGTCCTAGTGCCCACAAAGGGAGAAACGGAATTTGAAAATACTGACAATTGTTTCCATATCAATCCAACTTTAAAATGGATGCCATGGATTGTCCTCAGAAGTAAAGTCTTCGTTTCATTGGGTGTCAGACATTGAGTTTGCAGTCCGAGATGTCACATTAAAAAATATCGATGTAGGATATCAGGTCTGATGTACACGACCAAACATTTCTTATTGTCAAACATAGAACATGTAGTCGTAGTAGTAGTAGCAGCAGCAGCAGCACCACTAGTAGTAGCAGCAGTAGTAGTAGTAGCTATAGTAGTAATAGTAGTAGTAGTAGAAGCAGCAGTAGGAGAAATATTAATAGTAGTAGTAATAGTAGTAGTAGCTATTGTAGTTATAACGGTAGTAGTAGTAGCAGTAGTAGTAGTAATAGTAGTAGTAGCAGCAGCAGCAGTAGCAGCAGCACTAGTAGTAGCAGCAACAACAGTAGTAGCAGCAGTAGCAGCAGCAGCATCAGCAGTGGTAGTAGCAGCTGCAACATCAAACCTTCAAACAAAAGCATAGATACCTGAGAGATGCGCTGAACAGAGCAGCTAGAAATAGACCTGGCATGCCGGGTAGGTATTCAAATATGTCCATTACCATATATGGAACAATCTGAATACAGAAATTACAGTTTAAAAAAATTATGTATGTCTACCTGTTTGTATGTCTGTTTGTCTGTATGTCTGTATGTCTTTCTGTCTACCTGTCTCTATGTCTGTTTGGATGTCTTTCCGTCTACCTGTCTGTCTGTGTGTCTAATCATCCATTCATCATCCATCCATCTATTAGTTCGTTCGTCCTCCATCCGTCCATCCGTCTTCAATATGTCCGTTCGTCTTCCATCCATCCGTCCGTCCTCAGAATGTCAGTTCGTCCTCCATCGGTCCATCCGTCTTCAATATGTCCGTTCGTCTTCCATCCATCCGTCCAAACAATGACACTTCTTTCGTCTTTCCCTTAGTCTCTCCATCCGTCTGGGGTCTATCTAGCTGTCTTTGTGTAACTGCTTTGGTCCGTCACGACAGCAACTCTATTACGTGAAACATGTCACTTAAATGTTCTCTTGTGTGTGCCATTAGTGCGGAGAACATTTTGGACGTCTACCTCTCTACCTTAGACGCTCTACACACCGACACACACACACACACATCAACTCCACACACATCTTAATATCAGTCACATAGGGAGCTGCGTGGTCTCGAGGCATGGTATCCGCCTCCAGTGCTAGAGGTCCTTGGTTCAAGTCCCGGTGAAGGCTGGTTTTTCTTTCAGGTCGGCTTCTAGTAATTCTCCCCTGGTCAATAGGCAGTAAAATCGTACCCCCATGTGTATTGTTGCGCACGTAACAAAAATCCCTTGGCAGTCGGAAATCGAAAAGAATAGCCTAATAGCGCTGCCCGGGCAAAATTAGGAGTTAAAAATGTATCCAAAGTATTTCAGGATCCTCGCCGAAACAACAGAGTTCGTGCACTGCGCTGACATTCTTAGGACTCAGGCTTGAGTTAGAAAAAGAACGAAGCACTTATGGAAGCACCCATGTATCATGATATTGATCCGTTGAATAAACTTAAACACAAACAAAAACATAAATTCATTAAAAAAATACGTGAACACTGTACAGTGGAACCTCGCTTAACGAGCATAATTCGTTCCAGAACCATACTTGTTAAGCGAAACACTCGTTATGCGTAATTTCTCATATAAATTAATGTAAAATACGATAATGCGTTCCATGTCTTAAAAAAATACTCACAAAATGTTATGTATAAGGTCTGTCAAAGAAAATTATTTATAATATTTTGTTAAGGATAAATCGTCATTATTTTTTCTTCCATCGTGGAACGAACGCACCTGGAATGCGAATTCGATTTGCAGAAAACAAAAACAAAAAAGTCGAAATAATTGTGATACATAGATGTCCAGAGACATTTGTTTTTGCCAACTACTCTTTAAAATTTGGCGAAAATGCGACACAACATTATCATTAAATAAATTTGCAACGCGCATAGCCACTTCCTTTTTAGGGTGATGCTTCTCAAAGCAACAGTTTCCCATGCTTTTAGCATTTCTCTTATTTCGCGAGTAGATTGTTGCTTTTCTGTTACCTCCTCCTCCTCCTCCTCTGACAAACTTTCCTTCCAAACTTCTTGCTGTGAAACACAATGCAACTCCATAAGCTCTTCGGTGGTCAGCTCTTGGCTGTGCTCTTCCACAAGCTCTTCGATATTACTGTTATCCACATCCAATCCCATGATAGTGGCCAAAGACACAATCTCGTTGACTACAGGTTTCACAGGCACTGTCTCGAACTCCTCAAAGTCACATTCGACAACGCTCTCTGGTCAAAGCTTCTTCCAAGCAGAAGTTAGGGTTCTCTTGGTAACCCATTCCCCCGCTTTGTCGATCATTCTGAGGCAGGCAACGATGTAAAAGGGATTTTTCCAAAACGTTTCGAGAGTGAGGTTGGTCCCTTCAGTCACCTGAAAACAATGCTCGAAAAGTGCATTAGTGTAAAGCTTCTTAAAGTTAGTAATAACTTGTTGGTTTATGGGCTGGAGTAACGGAGTGGTGTTGGGAGGCAGAAACTGGATCTTGATGAACTTAAATTCTTCAGGGAGGTCATCTTGTAGGCCTGGAGAATTCATGTACATATATCACAATATAACACAAGTTCGAGAAAATGTGTGATCACAAGCGACACTACGATGCTACTGGAACGAGTGCTAAACACAGACTTATGTAACATGCGCACAATCCGGGACTTCCCCTCTCCTCGCCACTCGTTATGCGAGTCAATCTTTTACAATAAGTTTTGCTCATTATGCAAATTACTCGTCATGAGAGGTGCTCGTGAAGCGAGGTTCTACAGTACTTATACTGGGTCTTCACAAACAAACCTTTTAATTCCACTCATACACATTGACTCTACTTAACTCCACATCACAAAAAAAGTCAACCCAACTCACATACATTCATATAAACACATGTAAACACTGC